GATCCCTCGACCAAGGAGTCCTAACAAATGTCTATAGATCAAACAAACCTCCAAAGAGAGGAAAAGAATGCGTCTATTAAAATCATACATTTTTATGTGTAAAAAAGTTTTGTTTGTACGCATAATTTTATATTTTAGATCTACGACACTGCACGGTATGCAACGTTTCAAGAATCATTCCGACAAGCAGTAGCCTATGTTACAAGATCATGTTCGGTCGCCTTGAAATTATGTTGGAGCGTGGAGTGTTTCAACAGAGCTTCCTCAGACCCTGTAAACACCACAAAAATATCTCGCACTTTATAAACGGTCGGAATTGCACTTCAAATCTGTTTGGATCACGGCAAAATATACATTAGACAGCTCTGTTACTCTATAGTTTAAACGTTATCTGTCAGCTTACGCAAATAGCAACCTCATTATGCCTACAGTATAGACAGACGCTAGGCCTATTATGAATTTAAATCGTATAAGCATCGTTCATCTCATCTTCATTTACTCCTGACTACCCTCGTCCCGCACCGAACGTCGCACACCTCTTTTTCTATCCGTGAGGTCCCGTGTTAAGATTTGTCATGGTTTTCCGTCCCTGCAGGCACCTAAAATCAGCCCTCGACTCCTTCAGTTCTGTACCCTCGACGAAGTGCGTAGGATGAACGCGATCCGGAAGAAATTTTGTATGGATGTTGTGGTGTTTTACACGACGAGAATTACGGGTAAGGAGAGACGTGAGGTAGACACTGAGACGCTGCGATATGATAGCCAAAGTGGGAAAGAATTTAATGCCTCCAAATGCACTTCGCAAAGAATGCACGAGAAAAACTTGTACTCCGGTCCGGTACGGAATACATTTTCCTATCGTTTGACGTGAAATAGTCCAAGGTACTAACAGAGACGTTTAATGATCCACAAATAAAAAATGACAGCTCTCATTTAGAATCAATAATTTACCTTCTTCCACATAACAGAATAATCTCAGTGCACCGTCATTAAATTTTAAAAAAATATATAATTTTTTTAAAATTTATGTACATGATCTCTCTCATTAATATCGCCGGAAATCGATAAATTGTTATATCGATAACTTAATTCCAGCTGACATTTTAGTTACTCAATATAAATTACTTGTTAAATTTGCGTTTCCAAACCTTCGACCCCTTCCTAATAAATTAGGAAGCGTTAATTGATCCATAAATATATTTCTGTCGTTAATTACGCCTAGACACAATTAAATGTCCACATAATGCGACTATAACCCCCGTTTCTCAAACTTTAAGAGATCTCAGGGCGGGTTCCTTCACGATATTCGCTAACTGAAACTGCGTTCATATCCGAGGCGATAATATTTTTCGCGAGAAGTTGTGGAAACGTTAAGAAACACTGTCATGTTAAGAAGCGTGTCATTTGGAAAATCTGACAGAAATTTCGGTAATTAACGTCGCCTTAAAACGACGAAACTGCTAGCAACACGCTCTACGTAACCGGCTTCTTAAATTACACCGACCACTGCGGCAATCAGAGTAACACTCGACTAAAACTGGATGCACTCTTTGTGAGTTTATCGCATAACTTATTTATCGTGACTCTCAAGAGGTCAGGTCCTCGCGATCACAAGACCCCCGTCTGTCCCTAATCGCGACTCCTTCGCTGTATTTCGGTGCCCGTAACGCGAAGAACTATGGTCCCTGCAGGCCAACAGTTGACATCGAATGCCTCGTGCACTGGCCTACACGCGCGCACAAAGGAACGTATTACGATATTTCCACTTGGAATTAAATGCGTACTAACGGTAACTCAGCCTAAGACGGCTTCTTTGGAAACAGAAGGTTCAAAAGGACCCGGTACCTTTCCCTTCCCGATCCAGCCCACACTGACACACCTTATTTCCATAACATGCTTCTAATATTATCGATACCATCTTTGTCTAGGTCTTCCAAGTGGTCTCTTCCATTCAGGTTCCCTAAATGCAAAAATGCTCTTAATTCCATCGCGATTCGCCACTGTCGTCATTTTGGATAATGAAACATGAACTTCGTTTTCTGTTAAGTTCACTTCTAGAACAAGTACTTACTAGCACACGACAAAACTTCGTCGTTTCTATTTATAATTTTTTTATGTTTTAATCCAATTATTTAATCTCGTTAGCATAGATCAAAAACTGATAATCACATATATTAAATTTTCTCTCTGTTTCCCTCAACCTTCCTAACGGTGCAAATTTTGAGAAAAGCTGAATTCTAAATTTTTCAGACATGTCTTTACCTAAACTTAGGCCTATTTTAAACACATTTTAATCCGGCTAACAAATTTCATGGGTAGGCCTACACAAAATTCATTAAGAATATTGTAAAGTACGCCTCTCCTAATTACATTACATTTTATTGAACTCTGTAAATATCTTCAGAACGTCAGTTTTTCCACTGCATTTCAATTTCTTTTTCCAGAATATCTGAACAATGGGCGATCTGTTCCTTCAATGTCAGCACCAATGATCCGGCATCATTACATATGTACATGGAGTTAATCATTACATCGACAGATGACTTTTTCATAAAGTTTTCATTGTGGAAGGCATTCTTCGATATTCCAGACAGAACGAAAATGTTTATGGCTCTCAGAACATCCTGTTTGAATCATTTCTACCTAAATTCTATAAGTATCTTGTGATTAATAAAATTTCATCTTTTCAGGAGCAATTTCAGCCTTAAACTGATAGTTCAGGTAAACCACGTTAATATTAAAATTTTTGTTTCAGTTAATTTTCTTTTTTAAAGGTCAGATGTCGTTACGTAAAATAACTTAGACGGAAAGCTCGTTCAAAAATTATGTTTCTCCAGTGGATTTTGTTTTGATTACTTAGAATTTAAGAGGTTTCAAAAACAATTATTTCCACCTCAAGAAGCAGATGGGGCTGCCAGACAATATTTCGAAACGTCCGTTCTTCTATCATCACTTATGAAAACGTCAAAGCAGTTCGTTCCACGATGATGCTTCCGGTGTTGTGTTGTTTGATTTGACTCATAAATAATTAATATTTTAATCCTGATTCAATTGATGTAAAGTTATCAAAACGAGTGCCACATTGAGAAAGCTTTTGTGCGCCACTAATGAGTGGTAATTTCAGCTCAAAATAAAACTTAGAGTAATTGAATTCATTTGATCGTCCTGATAAAAATAATTCCCGGGATAAAAACAAACTTGCACACAAGTTCAATTAAATATATTTAATTTCTGTAAATGGGAAATATGAAATTTCTGTGACCCAGACAGCCAGGATATTGCAAATACCGAGCACCTAATTGTATCTGGTTTTTACGTAATACGCAGAGGACGCGTTATCGTAACAAATATTCGTTACAACTGATCAGAGCTAGAAAATTTTTAAAACATCACTTTCATGATCACAGAAACTGAAGCTAGTACTGTGATAATATTAAAAAAAGTTAAAATCAACGACACTTAACCCGTCGGTGTTTTTCGACGGGACTCCTGCCCGTTCTATCGGCCACTAAGAAGTGTTGTTGTCTGAATAAACATTTCACTTACAGCACAACAGATGTAGCCTATAAGCTAACCTGGTTCTGCGATTTGACGTAATTTGATATATTTGTTTTTAAACATCTGAGTTAGCATTAAACACACCGAGTTATGCCAATGGCCCCCTTTTGACAAGCGATACACGTGGAGTAATGCGAAACAACATTTAAGCACCAAACGGAATTCACGTCACAAAAATGATCCTTTTTGACTGTCCTCGACGTCGCTCTCAGATCACCTAATGCTGAAGGTAATAAATGACCTTCAGTGTAGTAACTTGCAAAACAAAGGAATAAAACCCCATTTATTAATCCCTCAATCACTGATTCATAAAAATGATTGCACAGAAATGATAATGTAATAAGAAACTGGATGTTCTGCGTTGTCAGTTGATAAATGAGGAATTTGAAACCTGAATTTTTTTAAAAATATTTACCAGACATGATTTCCCTTCTCCCGGTAAGAAACATTATATGTTCTGAACGATGTAGGCCGATGGTCATCCACTTTCGTAACGTGATTGGATGCAAGGGGTCGGATTACGATCTCCCTGTCGTAAGAATGTCAGCATTCAGATAGGTCTGATTTAAGGACGCGACAGATCTCGGGGCCAAGAAATAAATCCGAAGTCTCTCACACACAAGCTGATTCACAAGCCACAGTCAGTGATTAGAAAGACAATACATCTCGTTAAATATTCAAGCCTGAACACGGATTCGTCTTCGTGAGTCATACACAAGCGTTGTCATCTGTCCATAAACACTACGTGAATAAGGAAGTATTATTGCCAGGTCGTAAAAACGGAGAGCGAAGCACACGCAAGTCCTGTTCCGAAACGCCACTCTCGAGAAAATTGTTATG